CAAACTGGTGACCTTTCCCTTTTCGAGACAACACCCAACCAACTAAACCATACTGGTCAGGGCTCAAACACTTTTTTTCATTGATCTCCACAACAAAACTGCACAGGAAATTGGTGTTTTTATTCTCACTATTATTCTCACTATAGAGATGAGGATTCAAAGAAAGAAGCTGACTTGCCTCTTCTCACACAGTTGGTTAAGGCCTAGCTATTCACCATTTCAGTGTGAGGTTCCATGGAGTAAATGTGAGGTCTAGCCCTAGGCCGTGGGTGGGGGTGGTTTTGCTCACTCATTGTGTGAACTTTTGTTTCCTCCTCTTTAAATTATGCCTAATGTGGTCATTTCTAAATCTTTGTGAGAACTGAAGGTGATTAGCATTTCTTGGTACTGGTAAGGACTGAAGAAATTAGGTGCTCCATCCTTCAGCCCTCTCTTCAGTGTCCCTCTGTATATAGGGGGCTTAGTGCTGGGAGCATGGTTGGAGAACTCAGAGGAGCATTTTGAGTCAGGGACCCCCATTCTTTCTGTGCCCAGAACCTCTTTGGCAGTCTGGTGAAGCCTGTGGGAATCCTTCTCACAATGTTCCCAAATGCATAAATTGAAATATATAGGATACAAAGGAAGCCAGTTTTACTGAAATACAGTTTTTGAAAGAATTAAAAATATAAATCTGTGACATAGTAATCTACCACCTTCTTTAACTATGTATTTAATAACCAGAACTAGCATCAGATATAATAAGTACCATAATTTCTAAGCTGAGTGTAAATATTTCCATAAACCTATAGATAGGTTATGAAAGAATCTTGGTATCGGTGACAGAAGCTCAGGTATTGCTACTGGGGCTTGTAGTAGAGAAATACTAATTTACTTAAGAGTTTAGTGAAAATATATCCTCTCTTTCCCATATAAGTTCTCAGAACCCCCCAAATCTATCCATGTATCCCAAGCTTAGAGTACAAGCAGTTGGTTAAAATATATGATTGTGAATTAAAAAGTGCAATTTAGAGGTAGACATTTGGGGCAATAGAATAAAGCCTTCCTTCAAACAGAGTGGGTTTGACAGTACATGGATATTCCTTATGCTTGGGTCTGCAAAGGAGGAGTTTCTGGAATACATTTCAAGGAATTTCTTACAAATGAAACAACCAAGATGCAGCAGTTGAGTGACCTGCCTAAGAGCCCTAAGGAATAAGCAGAAGTAAATTCAAATTCTCAGGGCCCTTGATTCTGTTCCTAGGTAGTTTTCACCCCACTGTGTTCACTTTTTTCATTTCCCTTCAGCTGTTGAGGTGAACACAACATCCCTTTGTTGAGCTCTGCTCCTCCAACCCCAGCTGTGCTATGGCTGTGCTTCTAGCCACCATGATGGCTGTGTGACTCACCAATGCACATAGCTGTGAGAAAACAAACTTTGCTTGGGAGAGTTTGTCTGGGTGGTAGGAGGGAGCCAGGCTCAGAAAAATGGTGGCAGCTCCTTTAGGCTGAAGAGGAAGGCTGGTTCACCATTCAACTGGAACCAGAAAAAAGCTGCCATTTATTGTGTATGAAGCAGTGGGATCCAGAAGCCCTCTTGGCTTTCCTTTAGCCTGCTAGGTAAACTGGGCCATGCAAAGTCTTTGGCAGTGGAACTGCCCACATAATGGTCCTGGTAGTTGAGGGGAAGGGAACTCCTTCACAGCTATAGTCTTCTGGAGTCACACAGCTGAAACAATGCAAGTCTGAGACTCAGGGTCTGGTTGTATGGACTCACTCTGAGACCTTGAGCAAGTTCCTTCACTCCTTTGAGTGGATGTCCCTTGTCATGTCTGACATGTGCTCCATTCCCATCCTAAATCTAGGCTGTTTCTTTTCTTTAAAAATTGATTCTATAAAGAGGAAAAGGGAGGGAGGAAGAGAATCATTGATGTGAGAAAGAAATATCAGTCAGTTGCCTCTTGCATGCACCCCAACTAGGGATCAAACCCACAACCCAACCATGTACATTAACCAAGAATCAAACCCACGACCTTTTGATCTGTGGGACAATCCCAAACCAACTGAGCCACACAGGCCAGGGCTAGGCTGTCTGTTTCTAACATCTCACCTGCTTCAGAAAGCCATACCTGATTAATGTAATCCAGAGGGGCCTGTCAGACTTCAAAATGTACTTCATTCTTGGCTTTTTTCAGAAATCACCTGGCATTGTTATTGGCCCCTCAGCCACATCTAGACCAGAGGCTCCCTGAAGGAGGGAGCAGTATCTTATTCTTTTTCATTGCCTTTTTCCTCTGGTCACTGTTACCCACTGGATGGGTTATGGTGGTTGGTACTTGTTGGCTTGATCCCTACAGATGCAAGACATGGAGCTGCAGACAGATCTCTCTGAAGGTGCCAGGAGAAGCCAGAGGAGGAGGCAAAAGAGGTGGACTCAGGGCACCTCAGTCATGAGAGAACACAAACTCATACTAGTGACATTTAGAGGAAAGAGATTTCTGTTAGGGAAAGAGCTGCCTCAAAGCAGGGGATGTCTTATTCCACAACGAATGCTGGAGGTAGCATGGAAGAGGGGAGATAAGCTGGCTCTGCTATGAGACTTTGGGCAGATAATCAGCCCCTCTATTTGAGCCTTTGAGCCTCAACTTCCCATCTGTGGGAAGAATAGTGTCCTTTTTCATATGGTACTTAGACAGAAGAGAGATACTGTATGTGAAGAGCCAGCATATAATTGATGCTCAATATATAGTCCATGCTGTAAACATTATAAAATTTCCAGCCCAGGAGATCTTCTGGATAACAGATTCTCATTATATTAAATGACATGATTATAACCCTTTATGGGTGAACTATCCAGCTTTTAAGTGTGTAAAGAAGCAAGGAAGGATTCCTTTTGCTTTGTAGTCACAATAAAGACTAGGTTTTCTGACCCTTTGCTACCATCAGGTGGCCATACACTTACAATGCAGTCTGGTTGGTTTGTTTTGTCTCTGTTAGTTGCAAATAAGGATAAAACGTAGATTTGGGGTGTGTGAAGAGCCTGGAAAGTGAGGAGATCCTGAAGGGTAGAAGAAAATAGGTGAAGAGTGACTGAGAGTCACTGGGAATCGCCAGGTCTGGAGACTTAGTTATCAAACAAAGGGATGTCTTATCCAGGAGGCACCTTGGAGACTGCCTCCAGCACATCTACATCACCATCTCCAATTAGTACTGTCCACCAGGATCTTGTGAGATCCAGCCCTACCAATGTCTTTAGCTTCATGTTGTTCCATTCTCATGTTCACAGTCTGTGTTCCAGAACCACTGTCTTTCTATCCCATTCATACTACAAACTCCTTCCATTACAAGCCTTTGCCCATTACTAATTAATCTCTATCTAGAATGCCTGTCCTTCTGTCCCCACTCTTCACCTGTTGAACTTCCATGGTTCCTCAACTCTCAGCCCAAGCATGACTTCCTTAGGCAAGCCCTTTTTAGGTTCATTTGATATATACCATCATACAGCCAAAATTTTTTTTTCAGAGCACTTTTCTGTATTCATCTATGTGATGTTCAATTGGCATCTGTCTCTCATTATGCCATATTATAGGCTCTAGGAGAGAGGAGATGTACCCCTTTCTGTTGCATTTCCAGCACCCAGGACAGAGCCTATCATATAGCAAGAGCACAGTAAACATGTTTGATGGATACGGACATTTGCAAGATAGGAGAGAAAGATCTGGAATGTGTTAGAAGTTCTGAGGATTTTTCAGCCAACTCTGAGGCATGCACAGGTCTTTTGCGGAACTCAGCAAAGATGCTTTGAAACCATACTCACTCATGCCAATACACCACCGTTCCCCACTTCACCCACCCCATTCCCTACTTTTCAAGCAAGCACACTGGACTGAGAAGGGGTGTGATGGTCAGCTCAAGGGAAATGCTAGCCGGCCAGCCTTAGATAAAGGGGCACACACTGCCAGGGGAGAAGGATATGTTGTCCTTGGCCATGAGGCTTTCAGTCCCATTGCCAGCTACCTGTGATGTGTTTCTGTGGAAGCTAATCAACCATAAACACTAACACCATCACAATCAGGCACTTGAGGCAGGCATGAGTGAAGGGGAGATGGGCTCCCTTTGAGTTTGGTAGCAACACTATCCTCTCCTCAGCACTAAGTAACCAAGGTGGAAATTTCTGTGGGTTAAATTAGAAGTGAATAAAAGACCCATGGGTTGAAATGTAAAGTATGCAGCCAAGATACTGGGGTGGGGGAGGGAGTTTATTCTTAGAGAGGGGCTCTTGGCTTGACACTCCAGAGTCAAATACATGTTAGAGGAAGACAAAGAAACACCTGATAGGATGTTTCTAGGAGGAAAAGTTAATAATAGGGTTGAACATAGACATTTTTCTCCTAGAAAAATACTAACTCCTTCCAGACAAATGGTCAAATGCTCCTTAGGGTAAAGCAAGCCTAGTTGGATAAGAGTATGGATTTTCAAATTTTTGTCTCTTTAATTTGGATTTCATTTTAAAAAGGGAGTTAACTTGTTACAAACTCAGTAAAGATAAAAAAATAATCATTTTAGAAAATATTTTTAAAATTACCAACCCACAAAGTTGGTGCTTTAAATAATTTTTTGAGAGGTAATACTCTTTATTTCCAGAATTAGGTGAACAGAAGGGATTTCTTTTTTAAGCTAGAATTCAGGGTACATGAGCTGTTCCATTTCAAGATTCTTCTGGAACTGAGCTTTTAGTATAGCTTTTTAATAGTTTGAGGTGTCATAAGCTCCCAATAATTTCAATATCCCAGAGTCAACACATGTCCAATTTAAAAAGAAAAATTTGAGCATTGTAATCAATTTTTAATTCCCCACATTTGTTCATCTGTTAATTCAGAAATCAAGAGTCATTTCTAACTTTATTCTAGAAGATGCACAGAGAAAAGACATTCAAACTTGAGGATCCTGGAAAAGCCAAAGAACAGCAGGATGAATGTGAATTTTAATGGAGGAAGTGGTTGAAAGGGAAAATGAGGCCTGGGGGAAGCATCTGACATTGGGGGAATTGGATAACTAAAGCAGCTCTTCCTTCTTGGGCTCTAGGCTCTAAGATGGTGCCAAGAATGTTCTGCCTCTTAGGTCTCTAGATCCTCACCTCAACATTGTCTCCACCAAGAACTGTACACCTTCATGCCAGCAGTATTGGCTCTTTTCTTGAGTCTGGCTCTCTGTTCTTGTTGCCCTTGTCTATGGTTACTTTACAGACCAGGATGAGTAGAGTGACCAGAGTCATCAAGAGTGCAAAGAAACAAAGAACTTTTACTAGGTAAGCAGAATCAGATATGGCTGTGGTGAGTGTACCCTTGCCCCCACAAAAAGCTGGAACTTATGGGGAAGACACAGCTTTCTTAAAAAAAAAAAAAAAGAAACAGCTGAGATTATGTGGTTTAAGCAGACTGCCCACATAACCAAGAAAACAAGATTTGCTCTTTGTTATATCACAGGAATGGGTATGGAGATGTGGCCACACACCTGTTGCTTACAGGGGGCCACTTTCCTTTGGATATAAGTGAGCGGACCAAAGAGGTTTTCTCATCAAGAATGAACTGCTTCCAATGCAAACACAGTCCTGAGATAATAGTTCAATTGGCAAAACTGCTGGGGGTGGGTTGGGCTTCTGAGGTTTTGTGATGACACTTGAGGCTAAGACTAGGTATGCACAAAAGGTTCTGGTCCAGAAACTACTGTCCTGTGAAGATGCCCCTTCAATACTTTGTTTCTTACTTTTTATTTTGAAATAATTTTAACCTTTTTTATTTGGGCAGGGCTACATTTTTATTTATTTTTTCCTCATTCCACTATGTTAGGCTGTGTGTACACAAGGAAATGCAGCTTGTATTCCAAAATTCAAATACTTTTAGATATATAGGAAGTTGTAAAGATAATACAGAGGTCCCATGTACCTTGCACCCAGTAGACAAATGTTGGAATATACGTGTGTGTGTGTATAGTTCTATGGTAATTCACTGTACATGTAGGCTCTTATAACCACCTCTGAATTCAAGATACACAATGATTCCATCAACATGATCTACTGGTGTCTACATTGTACCAGTTGGGACAAGTGTAGAAAACCTATCTCCCTTGTAGTCCCATTACCCTCCATTTATAACATAATTTTATTAAGTATTTCCTCTATATCCATTAAAATTTACAGTCAATGTTATTGTTTTTGTCTCAACTATCAACTTAGAAAACACAAGAGGAAAAGGAAAGACTATTTTATTTACCCATTTAATTGTTGTTCAGCTTGGGTCATTTATATTGTTCTTTCTTCAAGTTCACTGAATTTTTTCTTGTCACTTCCATCCTGCTGTTGAGCCCATTTATTGAGTTTCTAAAAAATTTTGGTAATTGTATTTTCCAGTTCTAAAATGTCCATTTGGTTCTTTATTATCTTCAATTTCTTCACTAACATTTTCTATTTATTTGTTTCAAGTATATTCATAATTGCTAATGTAAATGTTTTAATGATCATTTAAAATAATTATAAAATAATTATTATACAGATATTTATTATAAAATAAATATCTGTATCATCTTTGTGTTGGTATCTGCTAATTGTCTTTTTTTTACTTGAGATTTTCCTGGTTCTTGGTATGACGTGTGTGATTTTGATTGAGTGCTGAACAATTTGGGTTTTATGAGACTCTAGATCTTATTTAGATCTTCTGTTTTAGCAGGATTCTTCTGGCATATGCCAGTTGTAGCAGGGGTGGGAGGTGGGCAGCACAGAGGAATGGATGGGGTTTATCTCACAAATGCCAGACAGAGGTGAGGGTCCAAGTTATCCACTCAGCCTCCTTTGTCAACCCATGATGAGAATTTCAGACCCCCCATGTGTCCTCCTCTGACACTCTGGCAGGGAAGAGGTGGGGTTCCTTTTTACCTCTTGATGGGGAGCTCATTACTTCTAGGCAAAGATGAAAGTCCTAATTTCCCTCTCTCTTCTCTAATACTACAGGGGTGAGGAACACCTTGTTACAGCTGGACAAGGGTGGAAGCCTAGGGTCTCCACTGATCTTTACTTATAGGGGTAGGAGTGGGGCCATGATTTTTCCCATGGTATTTGACTAGAGTAGGTCAGTTGTCCAAAAATCTTCTGTTTTGCTGAATTGACTTTTCCCTTGTCCTTAGAACAGAGAAAGTGAGCAAGCTTTTCTTGGGACTTCATTTTGTCTATGACCATTGGCATTTCTGGATTGCTTCTCTAGCACCCAGTCATAGTTATATGAGGCAAAAAGAAAACCCAGGGAATTCACTGTCATGTCAATCCTTGGGTTTCAAGGTCCCTAGTCTGTCTTCTTCCCACCTTCCAGAGTCTTCTTATGTTGGTTTTATATAAAATGACCAGGATTTTTATTTGTGCTTAGCAGGAAGAATGAGAACTGAATTTATTCCACGTGTGTCTAGTTCATTCTTGTCTGGAATTTCTATGCGCTGTACCAAGATTCAGGCAGGTGATAGCAGAATGGAAACCATGGGATTTGGAGTGCAAGGACTTATATTGGAGTACAGCACTCAAACTTTCCAACACTCATGATTGGTTAGGTCACTTAATCTCTCTGAGCTTCCATTTACTCATCAAAAATTGGAATTACAGTGATAATACCAAATTTAGTTTTTTATGGGACTAAAATTAGCTGATAAACATACAAATGCTGTTACTTTGAATAAGAACTAGGATGAAAGGGAAGGAAAGTTAAGAGGGAGTGTCTGGAGAATATAAAGCAGTTCAATTTTTTTCTTCCAAGTCACTTATAAACTTGCAAAGATTTGTAAATGAATTACCCCACCCCACTCCCATCCTGCCCAAGATATCAATATCAAGGTAACACAAGAATGTTACCTTGTACAGCAAAAGATATAATTAAGTTAAGGGTCTGAAGAGGAGGAGCTTATCCTAGATTGAGTGGGTCTTAAATATAATCACTTATATCCTTTTAAGTGAGAGGAAGAGGGACACACAGAGAAGAAAAAGATGTGAAGATAGAGCAGAGAAAGATGTGGCCACAAGCCAAGTAACAAACATAGCCACAAAAAGCTGGAAAAGACAAGGAATGAATTCTCCCCTAGAGCCTTTGGAGGGAGCATGGTATTGACTGACAACAGCCTGATTTTGGATTCTGGCCTCCAAAACTGTGAGAAAATAAATTTGTTTTAAAACTACAAGTTTGTGATAATTCGTTACAGCAGCCCCAGAAAACTAATATAGGGACCTTACAGAGCATCCAGTCCAGCTCATTTATCTAACAGATGAGGATATTAAGGCATAAAAAAGGAAAATGACCAATTTCACAGTTATTGGCATGAGAAGTAAAAAACTAGAATTATGGTCTCTTCTCTCCTATTCCACTAAAATGTGTGGTATTTAAAAAATATTTTTATTGATATAATTTACATACCATATAATTCACACATTTAAAGTGTACAGTTCTAGCCCAGGCTGGTGTGGTTCAGTGGATTGAGTGCCAGACTGTGAAGCAAAGGGTCACTGGTTTGATTCCCAATCAGGGCACATGCCTAGGTTTCAGGCCAGGTTTCCAATGAAGGGCACATGAGAGGCAACCACACATTGATGTTTTTCTCCCTCTCTTTCTCTTCCCCTCTCTTCAAAAATAAATAAATCTAAAAAAAATAAAATAAAGTGTACAGTTCTAGTTCCATTATTATTATTTCAGTATATTCATAGGTTGTTCAAATCATCACAACCTAATTTAAGAATATTTTCATCTCCCCTCAAAAGAAACGTCATACCACCTGGCTGGCGTAGCTCAGTGGATTGAGCGCGGGCTGAGAACCAAAGTGTCGCAGGTTCGATTCCCAGTCAGGGTACATGCCTGGGTTGCAGGCCATGACCCCCAGCAACTGCATATTGATGTTTTTCTCTCTCTTTCTCCCTACCTTCCCTCTCTAAAAATAAATAAATAAAATCTTAAAAAAAATAAGACCTTTTCTTAAAAAAGAAGAAAAAAAAAGAAACTTCATACCGATTAGCATTCTTGCCTGTGTGTTTTATGACTCCTTATTTCAGGTATATTGATTTCATCTCCCCAAATAGAATGGACTGCTCAATCCCTTATGTTTTATTTTCTCCTCTCATTCCCTATTCTGATCTTCCCTTGGAGCTAGGGTTCATTGATTCCCCCTAACTCATGTTAGGGTACTGAGGAGTCTCTGGTGGAGCTCTGGACTGAATAGATTCCTTTATGCTCCCTCACATTCATACTCATCCTAATTATCTTCCCATTCAAGTTGGCTTCTTCTCTATTCCCTGTCTCCAAAATAAGAAGCCTGGGAGCCATGCTAGATTGCTCTTTATGACTCCCTGTAATATATACAGCAGGGAGTTTCAATATACTGTCAATTCCACTTCTGAAATAACCCTCACAGCCACCCCCTCCTCCTTATCCCCATAGCTTCTACCTTATTTCAAACTTTAATTTCTTGGTCCTTAGCAGTTCTTGTCTGGATCTCAGCAATAGTTTATCAGTTGGTCTTCTTAACTCTAGTAGTTTATTTCCTTACAATTTTTCCTACTCAATATTAACAGAGTAATATACATAAATAAATCAGACCACTTCACTAAAAAAAAAAAAAAAACATCATTTTTGTCCCTGCTACTTTAAGATAAAGTCCAAATGCCACCAGACGGTATACTGTATAAACTCTTCATTCATGTTGTGCTTCCACAGCTACCTGTCTATTCTCTTTTCCTATGATGCTTTCTTATGCATTTTACATTCCTTTACGAAAGACAGCTTACATTGTCCTCAAGTTGGTAGCAAAGTGGTGCAGGGCAGAGGCTCTGAACTCAAACTTCCTAATTTGAGTCTTGGCTTCATCGTTTAGTATGTGAATTGTGATTTTGTTCAATATATTTACTTAACTTCTCCATGCCTCAGTGTCTTCATCTAAAGATAAAATGTGGTTTATTATAGTACATATTTCAAAGGGTTGTTGTGAGAAGCAAATATGGAGGTACTTGTCAAGTTCTTAGAATGGTTTCCAGCATATACTCAGAACACAGCAAGGGTTTGCTTCTGTTATCTCCTAGCCTCTATACCTGGTGTTCACTTTGCCTGCAATCCTTTATCTCTCCCCTCCCCCTTCTCTACTCAGTCAGTTTCTACATTCAGTCTAAGCCAGTTTTATTTTCCTTAGGACCCTGACCTCCACAATCTCCAGGCTATAAGTGCATAATTCGATCATAGTACTTAATGCTTCCTCCCCCTCTGTAGGTTGTAACTGGAAAGAAGGAATTATGTCTTCAGTGTAGAAACTTGCATATAAATATTGCCCAATAAATGTATTTGATGGATGAACAAGTGAATGTGATATTCTGGGTAAATTCATGTTTTAGTTAATATAGGAACTTGGTTCTTCAGACAAAAATGCTACTCCATTTTAAAGGAGACAAAAAGACAATTTAGGGCAGGGGATATGGAAGAATCTTCTTTCTGGAACTGCTTCCTGGGAACAATATCCTTTTATCTCAGGACTCTGAAGCCCAAGAGAGATTTTTCCTAAAGCCTATGGTAACAATTCTTCCTTTCTGCTTCATAGGGGGGTGTGGAGTAGGAGAGAAAAGGAGGAATTGCTCTAGCTTCTAGGAAATCTACCTATGCTTACTTTGAGGAAGCTGTTCATCTTCCATCCTGTCTCCACAAACCTGAAGGGTCCCAGCCAGACATACATTAAAGCTCCCAAAGCCCTTCTAGATCTGCCAATAGCACAGTGTTGAACACATGCAGAGGTTCTCGTGAAGCAGTGGAAGCCATAATTTCCTTTAAATTCCAGTCAAATAGTGGAAAGGGAGCTCCTTCTGGACAGAGTCAAACTTTTAATCAATATAGAAAGGGTTCTGGGCTTGTGAAGACTGGATCAAAAGGTTTAGGGTAATATCCCATTTTTGGTTATCTCATTATTTCTTCTTTGCACATTTTGCATATGCTTACAGGGTAGGTTGTTCAAATAAAACTAATTTATAAAAGTACAGATTCTAATACAGTACTTTAGACATTTCAAAGGTGTTCTGCTGGCCTCATCTAATATGTAAAGCTCAATAGTTCTCAGGGTATTGGAGGAAGCAGCAACAGTGGCAATTTCAGCAGGACCCTAGGCTTTTTCAAATCACACAGACTTTCCCCTAAAGACATAGAATGATGTGTTTATGTATTTAGCCAACAAATACTAAGTGCTTTCTGTGCTTGAGGTACTACATGTACAGAGATGAGCGAAATTGACACTATTTCAGTCCTTGTGGGGCTTCATCTCATAGGGGAAGGCAGACTATCAAGGGTCATTTAGAACAGCAGTTCCCAAGCTTTTTGGCACCAGGGACCATTTTCATGGAAGACCATTTTTCCATGGGCTGGGGGTTTGGGGGAGGGGTGGTTTCAGGATGAATCAAGTGCATTACATTCAACCTTACCTCCTGCTGTGTGGCCTGGCTCCTAACAGGCCATGGACAGGTACCAATCTGTGGCCTGGGGGTTGGAGACCCTTGATTTAGAACATAATGTGGTAAGTGCTATGATGAGGGAGGCAACAAGAGCTTTAGAAGTCATAGATCAGTCTCCTGTCTTAGGCCTGGCAGGGTTAGGGTTTCTTCCTGGTAGTAATGACATCTACATTGATACCTAAAAGATGAGGAAGAACTACACACAGAAAAAGGGGAAAAAAAAGAGGTGTCAAGGTGTGTGACAAAGTGTTCTGAGCAAAGAAGACATTTGTTTTGCAGGATGTTAGGTGGAACTCATTTGGTGCCCTGGAATCATCAGTTAGGACACCAAACTGAGAGGTACCATCAAGAGGTGGCAAGTCAGTTCTACTACCCAAAACCATACCCCATTTTCTGCCTCCATGAAAAATAGAAGATAGTATGGAGGTAAAAACAGAAAGGGAATTGATGTGTCTGTCACCAGTCAAGGGATCAAGTGCCGTGCATTTTGTCCTCACCTCCAAGTGAGGGGTCTCCAAGAGAATCACTCATAAAAATTGGTTGCTTGGCAAGGAGAGACTGACATCTCAGTTCGTGCTTGGGTATCTGCTGATAACCTTACTGATCTGTTCTCCATGATCTGATCATTGGAGTATGGAGAGAGGGTTGACAAGGAAAGGGCTATCACTGCAACAACCTGATTTAGCAAGGATATGTGAACTTCCTGTAAGTCAAATACACTGTGGAAATCAACAGTGTTTGAACCATTTTGCTAATTCTCCTCCCAAGCAAACTGGCAGTCAGGGAAGCCTAGTTACACTGTCAAGAAAAAGATAGGAGGGCTTGAGGAAGCAAGTAAGTTGGAGCAGATTTCCCATCAGAGAATTGTGCAATGGGGAGAGCTCCAAGGACACTAACCCATGTGCCCACAAGAACTAACACTTGGGCATCTTCCAACTGAAAGTTATCTATGATCAGTTAGTCTTAATCTAAGGTGCAGACAATGAACAGGTCACTGTAATGACATGCCCAGTTAGTAAAAGGAGTTTTTGATCATCTTCCTGTACCCATCCCAATTGTTCCTCTAGGTCCCAACACAAGAAGTATTTTAAATTAGGGAAAGAGAATGTTATTTCTATGAAAAGACAGAACGCACCAGTTCCCTAAACAAAGTTCTACAGCTGAAGCCTGGCTGGTGCAGAGGGGAAAAGAGGACTTTAAAGCTTGATGTAAGACTGAAGTTTAAAGTGGACTGTACTAGTGTGGATCCTGAGAAAGAAGACAGTTACCAAGATGGGCTCCTGGTGGCTTAACTGGACTCAGACAAAACAGACTCTAGCAGCCATTCCTACACAGGGACCTCTCATGCAAAATGCACTTCAGGAAAAAAACCTGCACAAAACTGCCTCTGCACTGAACTGCCTGCCTATACTATGTTTCTGCCATCTTAACCAGCCCTTATTAACGAGTTCCTGAAATCCTATTTTTACCAATAGGACTGATGATTTCCCCATTCAGCTGGAGTTGGGCAGCTATATCCCCATCAGCTTCTTCAATGCCCAATCAGAGCAGATCCATTTGACAAATTAAGACAGTGCCTTTCGGACCAATGAAACTGCAAGGATTTGGAGTCCTACTTGTATGAGGATGGACCAATCAGGGACCAGTTTGGTCAGGGACCTCTGTCTATACAAGTCAGCCCTGTTTTGGCTCTGAAAGTGTACTTTCCCTTTCCATTGCAGACAGAAGACTGCATTTCCCTGACTAGAACTGAAACACCAAAGATATCTTGCTAGAGCAGATGGAGCAGACAAACACAAGGCACAGTAGGCTAGACTGGCACAAAGAAGAGCAGAGCAGATCAATGAGGAGCACAGCAGAGCTATCCAGTCAGAGAAGTAGCCTGGCCCCAGGTACTCCTAACAGTGCTATTTTCACAGCTGTCCTGTATCACAGCTGAACTGTTCCACAGCCCTGCTATTTTCACAGCCATGCTGTATCACAATTGAGCTGTTTGCACTGAATAAAGTTTCCTTCTTAATCACACCCCAAATTGGGGATTCCTGTTGGTACTGAACTGACTCCAATGGCCTTCAGTTTACACTAGTTTGGACTTTTAATAACTAAGAGAACAGAAAGCTACAGAATGTGTCAGTTGGGGAGCACTGATAGGGTGTGGCGGAAGATACTGGTTCAAACCATGTCAAAATTTTGTTGACAAGAGTACAGAATGTTCATCAAGTTGTTTCTATTTGTTAAAAGCCCTTGAAGTAAGAGGCAACCTGGTGTGGTAAAAGAACAGATAGTATTTGAAGATGATTGTAACATAGTGAGGGAACGTTGGAGGAGTGGGAAGAGGCCAAGTAATGGAAGACTTGTTAAGGTGTACTTTATTTGGGGGCAAAGAAAAACTATGTTTTAATAATAAAATTTGCATTTTAGAATAAACTAACAATGGGGGGGGTGGGGTGAAGACAGGGAAACCATTTACGCGAGACGATTTGTGAATGGCAGTAGGGATGGAGGAAAGTGGTCAGATTGAAAGGTATTTAGGAAGAGAACGATCAGGAATTGCTGATAGAGGAAAAGGCCAACAGAGCTTTGCTTTTCAGCCAACCCAGAAATGCTGTCCTGTTTCCATTTCCCGACACTCAGTTCATTAGTTATTGGACCAATGCCCAGGTGAGCCATTTGGTTCTCTGGGGCTTTGTGCTTAGGGTGGCTGCTGCCCGCTGTGGGTACCAGCAGTACCGTTATCACACAACCCTCCCAGCAATTTGAGGAGGCAGGCTGCACCTCAAGTGTCATTCCAGTTTCACAGTGTCATCTCAAGTCCTGATGTTTAAGTGATTTGCCCAATTCCCCACAGCTGGTTTGTTAAAAGGACATTACTCAAAATAGTAATGGCCTTGAACATAATAATGTAAACTAGAACGTGGTGATCAGCTATCTGGGCCTTTCTCAAGTTGAGCACGTGTTCACGGCAGAGGTTCACTCACAGAATGTAGCAAAATGCTCGTGTGCCAAAGATGGGACTTGCGCCCCAAGAGATGGGAAGTGAAGTGATAGGGAAAGTCCGAGGGCCGCCCGATGCTAGAGGCAGTGCTCAAGAGCAGGTCCGACCACGGACAATCAGGGGAAGGACCTGATAGGAGTGGGTTGGCTTTACATCCGCCTGACCAATCCACGTTTCCTTAGTGGAACTCTTGCCAAGGACCGATGTCTTACCGTCTAGCTTGAGCACCGCACCTTCGGAGTCCCCAGGATCAAACTGTAGGAGGGACCGGAAACGCCCACAGCGTCAGTGGCCTTTCCGGGGCAGAGGAAATTGAAGCTCATTGGCTAATGGAGATTGAAAAAGGCTGGGTTTCTCCGTCAGCGCTTGGGGCACTGTGGGTGTTGTGGTTTGGAGGTTGCAGTCCAGACTTTTCCAAGACAAAGATTTTAGGCCAGTAGGTCGTAGATAAGTTGCCTTCACAGAAGAATTGGGTGTGCGGCAGCTGCGTGGGTATGGCTTCTGTGTGTGTGTGTGTGTTATTTCAGTTTCAGTGAGACCTCGCTCTTTCTGTCTCGCTTTCAAGGACCTTCGTTTCGTCCCATACCGTAGGCTTCCCCAGGTATAAAACCCCTTGTCATCTACAGACTCCTTTATTCTTCACATCCAGCGTCCGAATCCTCCTCCATTCTTCTTCTGCTCCTGTGTACCTTTTCTTGGCGTTGGCGCTGTTCTAGACAGAGCACCTTTAACATCTTGCCCCGGCCCATGAATCATGCCAAGGGTCCCAGGAAAAGAATCCCACAGCAAATGTCTGCAGGCAAAAGCAGATCTCAGTCTCCCACTTCAGCAGCCTTGCAGCTCACTTCTTACCCCCCCGCCCCCCCCCTCCGCCTTCTGATCATTGTCTCTTTTCTGGTTCCACATCTATGCAGCCTCTTTGATGAACAGCCCTTGGTTAGAAACGGTCACCTTCGGTCCTGTTACTTTGTCTCTGGCCTCCATAGTTTGGTAATACTACAGAGGGGCCAAACCTGGCTTGATTTATAGGACAGAGAGGGGATAATGAAAGAAACTGGACTGGAGAAAGAAAGGGGGGGGGGGAAGAGGGAGAGGGAGAGAGGGAGAGGGAGAGAGAGAGAGGGAGAGGGAGAGAGGGAGAACGCTAAACTAGATTTCATAGAAGTCAGGAGGAGACATGGTGAAAGAGAAAAACTTATTTTTGTACCTTCACAAAATGTTTGGTACTGACTATGACCAGGGCTCTGTGAATTCATTGCTGGAGATACAATAGCCCCAAACCATGCAGATGCTGGGGGTCCAGTCAGTGAGGACAAACATACAGGTAAGCAACAGTGCAGGATGGCATCAGGCTCTCTTCTGTGGACTTCCCTTGTGTTACTCTGCTTATTCCCATGCCTCTCTCAGCTCATTCCAAAGTATTTTGCCTCTTTACATCTCTCTGTGTTCCGTGCTCTTTTTTTTTTTTTTTAAGAGAAAGGGAGAGAGAGAAACATGGATTTGTTGTTCTACTTATTTATGCAATCATTGGTTGATTCTTGTGTGTGCCCTGACCAGAGATCAAACCCACAACCGGCCAGGGCTGTTCCCACTCTCTTCTTCCCACTCTCAAGCTCCCTTCCTTCCTTCTCCTGACCCAAGTTAGTTCTTCTTGCATCTTGCTGTTTTTTTCACTTGGACAACTATGTTGAGAGGGGATTTAGCAACAGAGAATCCTCCATGCCTTCCCTTCACCTTTTTATGAGAAATGTCTATTAACCTTCTCATTTTAGGGCTCTGCATTCTCTCAGCAGTTTTGCACATTGCTTGTTCTAGAATCACTTGCAGATCTTTCATTCTAAGTGCTCCAGAATTATGGAATACGATGCAACCCAAATTGACTTAATTCTTCTGCTTCATATTTAGTACTGTGAGAAATCTGAGTTTTGAGAAGTTAGTCTCATGAAGATAGTAATCAGGAAGGATCCTTTAATATGTGGTGAGAAGTAGAGTCCTGTACAACTGGAGAAGATATGTCTTAGCATTAAAAAATAAAACAAAAGAAAACAAAAAAGAAACCAACCAAAAATATGCCTTAGTGGGTTAACTAAGCTAGACAGGAGATATTTTTGAACTGTTAATTGAGAAATCTTTTTTTGCCCAACCTATTCTAAATAATGTTATTGGAGTTAATGCACTGTGTGTGTGTGTGTGTGTGTGTGTGTGTGAGTTTCTGAATAATAAGTAATCTAATAACCATGCTTATTTAGTTTAAGAATGCTTTATAATACCCATGGTAAGTACGTTTACCTTTAAGGTTCTTTTTTAAAAGATTGTATTTATTGATTTATAGGCAGAGGGGAAGGGAGGGAGAAAGAAAGGGAGAGAAACATCAATGTGTGGTTGCCTCTCATGCACCCGCAACTGGGCACCCACAACTGGGGACCTGGCCTGCAACCCAGGCATGTGCCCTGACCTGGAATCAAATCTGCCACCCCTTGGTGTATGGGATGATATTTGAACCAACTGAGTCACTCAGCCAGGGCAATATTTTTCTTTTTTAAGGTAAAACTGTTCAGGGCTTTACTCAAATAGTCATCTCATCAGAGAGACCTTCTCTGACCACTTTATCTAATATAGAGCTTTTATCAGCCTCTCCCTATGTCTTTCTTAATTTAGCTCTAGTATTATCACCACTTGAAAATATATATTTGTTGAAATTCAGGGTGGAGTTAACTGGATTAAAAAAAAACAAAAAACCTCCAGCATTCTTACCCTGGGCGGTGGTCTTAAGCTGATTACTTACTTACATCAGACCAGGCTGTGGTCTTTTTCTGTGTCCTGGGCAGTGGTCAGTGGTCATCTCATCCTAGAGTACAATGGCTTAGATATCATCTTGAATTGCTTGCAGTCCTCTTGAGTAACAAAGGTGGAACTGCTCATGGTCTCCTGGAGTCAGGGTGGGTCATACCTGAATGAAAGGATTTTTAAAAGAAAATTTACAGAGCACCTATTATGTGTAACCCACTGTGTGTATAGTATGGAGCATATAGAAATGAATAAGATATAGTTCTTAGCTTAGAATAATCTATAATCTAGAAGAGCTATAGAATGATCTATTTAAGAATATTTCATTAAACTATAGTTAAGCATAAGTTCATAAGTTTGAAGAGCTAATGTCAACTCTTATGTTTCTGGGATGAGGAATTATTTGTCCTACTTGCATACTTCTGAACTGACTAATGTGCTACTCTGTTAGGTCTGGGACCACCTTCCCTCCATGTCCTTGTGTGTAAGCCTGGCCATGCAAGGAGCACATAAAATAGCCATGCCTCCCTGTGGATTCTCTCTGCCATTCTCTGTAGTGACACCAGTAGTCAAAACATACCACTAAAACTTACTTACATCAGTTCTGCAGATTGTGGAGGGTGAGTAGAATTCACATTCATGTGTTTACTCACATATATGTTATGTTTTTTTTTCTCTGTGAATTTGGTTATTTTTCTCTGTTCCCAGGATCTGGCAAAATTACTTTCCAGAGGCTCAACCAGCAAACTATTTTGAGCCATTAAGTTAAAGAGCCAGTTTGGAAAATGAAGCCAACCTCAGATGGTCGTCATTGGGGGTTCCTTGTTCATAAGTAGGAAGATCATTCTATTTTTGGGCTGAGAATCAATCCTACCCTCAGGATTCTGAATTCCAAGACCCTTTGTCAGAATCTGAGGCATTCTGTTTCCTGGAAGTGACTAATTCTGTGAGCTCTGCAAGGAGCTGCTGTTTGACTGCTATTTGCTCATAGTAGAATTAATTCTTTTAGGTTACTACCTTATTTCTGACCTATAACATGTCTCATCTAAACTATTGATTTTGGTTCTACCTTATCTCTTTACCTCCAATCTTGCCATCCAAGGCATCCAGTTTACTGCCACCAAAATGATTGTCACTATCCGCGAATCTGACCACATCTCTTACTTAAAACTCTTCAGTTGGTAACTCCTCAGTGGCCATCACAACCATACTTCTCCCCGACTCTGACTCCTGTTTACCTTGACATCTTTATCTTCCATCATATCCTTTCTCACTTGATGATTCAGAAATTTGAATATATTACTAATCTATTTATATTTGTATTACTACCTTTTATTTATGAATTTGGCTATATTACTATTGCTTTGTGTGTTGTCTTTGCCTAGAAAACTCTTTCCCTTAGTCCTTGCCTTTCTGAAGTCACTGGTCTTTCACAACACAGCTTGAAGAATGTGTCTTTGAAAAGCTTTAATAATGCTTCTCCCTGCCCAGCATAGTTGAGTTTCTCCCTGCTATGCCCATTTCTATAAAAAGAAAACACATACTGTACTTATGGATCTCTTTCTACCTACTTGATTGTAGGTCCTTTGAAAGTGACCACGTAGAGGGCTATATTTATGCTATTTAGGAGTACAGGCCTTGGAGTCAGGCCCAAATTTGAATATGAGCTGTGCCTCTTGTTCCCTATATGTCATTGGGCCAGTCACAACTCATTGAGTCATTTTCTTCTTCAGTAAAATGATCTAATTTTACTCATTTTAGTGTCCCCAGGTTCTGGCACCATGCTCAGTGTCCTCAACTTGGTTATCTTTTTGTTGGGTTTTCCACATTGTCTGCCCCTCTGTTACCAAGCCCAACCAGTAGGGGTCCTACCACTTGCTGCCAACAGGCAAAACTTCTGGAGGCAGCATTTGGTGGAAAGGAAGATTTTCTTTAATTAACAAAATATCTAACAAAAATAGCTGTTTAAGTGTTTGTTATTACAATTACTACATAGATTCAAGAGCTGAAAATAACATAAAAACAAAAATCTTGCCCTGGCTGGCATAGCTCAGTGGATTGAGCTTGGACTGTGAACCAGGCATCTCAGGTTCGATTCCCAGTCAGGGCACATGCCTAGGTTGCAGGCCACAGCCCCCAGCAACCACACATTGATGTTTCTCTCTCTCTCTCTCTCCCTCTCTCTCTCTCTCTCTCTCTCTCTCTCTCTCTCTCTCTCTCTCTCTCTCTCTCTCTCTCTCTCTCTCTCTCTCTTTCCCTTCCCTCTCTAAAAATAAATAAAATCTCTTAAAAAATCTTTACAAAAACTAAGATGTTAAAACTACAAAGTATGTATTACCTGAAAAGCAAAGCCTAATAGTCATGTGCCTTTTCCTCTGGTTGCTGACAGGTCCTCAGGGACTGCAGCTCTTGACAGGTCCATGTGGGGCCTGTAGCCTGAGCCTCTTCCCTCTCTTCCTACCGTCTTCCAGGCCCAGGGCCCAGGAACCCAGGCCCTGGCTGTTAGGAAGCTGGAGAAATGTCCACCCAACTGCAGGTCTCCCCCTGGCCTGGCTGTCCTCTCAGAAGCCACCTGTGTATGCCACACAGGCCACTCTGGCCTCGATCTTGAAGCCTGCACATTCTCACTGCTCCTCTTCTCCTTGGGCTCCTTGCCCCACTCCTACCACCAGCCACCTCCTACTCCCAGCCACTGCCTAATCTCCCTCTGGGCTCAGACACTCCCCTGGCTCCCCCCCTGGAGCTTGCTTTTGAGGGATTTCCTGTGCATCCTGCCTCATTCCTCCTGGGTTCCCCAGAATCCTTTGTGCACTTGTACACATCACTCTGGTTGTCAGGGCGATGCACACATTACTATCTCCCCTTTTAACACTCTGAACACTACCTTACAAGGACAAATGGATGAAGGTCTCATTCTTCTGGCACTATTCCAGCTAGCCAAAGGCATAGTCCTACCTATCCC